AATTCAAGACCCATGGAAACTAATGGAAATTCAGAACCCCAATGGAAAATGGAATTCAGTTATTCCTAGTGGAAACAAATAACTTTGCTTTTTTGGGTTACACTAGGTATCTACACATATGTTGCTACTGTATGATAACTTTATGTAATATTTACGTGTACCTGTACCATCTGCCAAACTCCCATGATCAAACCCACATGAAACAGGAGGCACCACATGAACTAAACTAATCCAAGACACAAGCAGAAAGCACTTCGGATGAAAATACCACCTGACACAGCAGACTTCCATATCGCTAGTCGAAGTGCTGCCTGCTGTAAAAAAAAATGGAAAGGGGTGGAAATTAGTATCACACTCAGTGAAAGCCAATAGATGTTCCTCTTTGAGTGTCATAGGCTAACCTAACTATTTGTCTTGTTGACAAGCTATCGAGGGCTATGTGTACTTACTTGGGACAACTTGGTGCCTTCACACCCAACATAATGCATAATAAAATAAATAACAAAAAGCCAAATACCGTGACTGGACGATACACAATAACCGCACACTCAAAGCAGAAGCTTCCACGCGTTTCGAGTCTCGCAAAAATGGACCATTGACAAAGTCACATGGTCCATAGTCGGACTGAGGCAAGGTCGTCCGTAAGCTTCTGTCTTGTTAAAGTCGGCGGTTTATTTTGTGTAATAAAAATAAATCTATTACTAGATGATACAACTTATACAAACCATAGCTATATCAGTAACATACTATATAGAATGCCACTAATTATGCAAAGCATTTCAGGCAACTTAGGTTAATTTTGTCCATAGGATGCGACCCATGTCAGTCAGCTAACATCCAGGTACCTACTTACTGCTACATGAATAGTGACATCAGGGGTCTTAAGGAAACACGTACAGTGTTTTCACCTGTACCGGGGATCGAACCATGGACCTCAATGTGTGAGCTGTGTGTGTCCTGTTCTCTGATCTGTTTGCAATCGTATTACAGTTTCACGTGACTAGCCTTTCTCTGTCAGTCATTCTGAATGACCCACATAGGTTAAGCATTTTCTGTGATAAACACAGTAATAACTGTTCCATTATTCATCCCTGAAAATGATGGATGTTATTTCTAAGTTATTAAACTCTAGAACTAGCAGGCCCTGCTTATCAAATTTGATAATGTTATTGCTTTTTAAGAATTTTATGGGCCAAAGAGTGAAACTCACCTATGAATTCAAAATATTTTTTTTTCTAGAAAAAGGAATTAAGTTAAACACTTAAAGATATATAAATATATATATTTTTTTTTAACATGTCGGCCGTTTCCCACCGAGGCATATTTTTTTTTTTAACAAATTGGCCACATCCCACCGAGGCAGGGTAACCCAAAAAGAAAAACGAAAGTTTCTTTAAATTTGGTAATTTATACAGGAGGAGGTCACTAGCCCCTTCCTCCCGGCATTTTAGTCGCCTCTTATGACACACATGGCTTAAGGAGGAAGACTTCTGTTCCACTTCCCCGTGGAGAATACACATTTATATATTATTTTTTTCATCAAACCAGCCACATCCCACCGAGGCAGGGTGACCCAAAAAGAAAAACAAAAGTTTCTCTTTTTAAATTTATACACGAGAAAGAATTACTAACCTCTTGCTCTCAGCATTTTGGTTACCTCTTACGACAGGCTTGGCTTATGGAGGAAGAATTCTGTTTCACTTCCCCATGGAGATAAGATGGAAAAAAACTAGCAAGAAAATAGAAGAAAACCCAGAGGGATGTGTATATATATGCTTGTACATGCATGTGTAGTGTGACCTAAGTGTAAGTAGAAGCAGCAAGACGTACCTGAAATCTTGCATGTTTAAGAGGCAGAAAAAAAAGACACCAGCAATCCTACCATCATGTAAAACAATTACAGGTTTCCATTTTACACTTTCTTGGCAGGACAGTAGTACCTTCTGGGGTGGTTATCCACCAACCTATCACAGGATGGTAGTACCTCCCTGGGTGGTTGCTGCCTACCAACCTACTACCACAGGACAGTAGTACCTCCTTCCTGGGTGGGTTGCTGTCTACCAACCTACTACCACAGGATGGTAGTACCTCCCTGGGTGGTTGCTGTCTACCAACCTACTACCACAGGACAGTAGTACCTCCCTGGGTGGTTGCTGTCTACCAACCTACTATCACAGGATGGTAGTACCTCCCTGGATGGTTGCTGTCTACCAACCTACTACCACAGGATGGTAGTATCTCCCTGGGTGGTTGCTGTCTACCAACCTACTATCACAGAATGGCAGTACCTCCCTGGGTGGTTGCTGTCTACCAACCTACTATCACAGAATGGCAGTACCACCCTGGGTGGTTGCTGTCTACCAACCTACTACCTACAAATATTATGTATAACAAATAATAATTATTGCTACTGTAGTCTTGGGTTGGGCTTAAGCTTGCTCAAAATACTCTGCATAACTATAATAATACAGCCTCTCCTCACTTAGCAATGTACTCGTTTACTGACACCTCAGACTTAGGACGGGCTCTCTGACCAGTACACGTGCCTAAATAATGTATATTAGATCCGATTTCCTCTATTCTGTTTATTACAATATACAGTACACTGCTGTATAAACATTTAAAAATGTACCATAAATGTTATAAATGGTACAAAGGTGACATTAAAATAGTATCAAAGAAATGTGACACAAACCCACTACCATTATGGTATGCTCCTCACTTAGTGACGAATTCGTTTACTGACATGGTCTTAGGGACAGAACTCCATCATTAAGTGAGGAGAGGCTGTAATGATCTTTATTTCTATAAGTACATGTACACAGGCTTTCTGCATGCACAAACAAATGTTAACCATCTCTGTCCAAACATTGTATCATGTGGAAATAAATCTTTGTCTTTGTCTTCATATATCTGGAACCTTTCCATCTTAAAGATAGATGCATGTTAATTCATTTGTGTAAACTGCCTGGGAAATGGAAGGTACAGTAATCAGATTTGATCTAGGGAAGAGGAGAAAACCCCTTCCCCACAATGGCATTGTTACCTCCCTTGAGGGACAAGAGCCCTTGAAAAGCATCAAGAAATCGCATTACGGATCATGTTTTTATGATTTTGTGAACCAAGAAATCCTTGATAGGAATGGGACCCCAGACCAGGACATGAGACGACTTCAGAGACGTTTGCTTCTGACAATACTGACTCTCACGAGTCAAGGACTTTGTAATGTAACTAGGATAATCAATTAGTGTGAAAAGAGCAAATAACTTTTGTTTATTTTTTTTTGTACACAGACTTTAAGATCAATATTCAGCTTTATTTAGATGTACAGTGGACCCCTCGAGTTAACGAATTTTTCATCCGAAGTATTTCAGGTGCCGGGCACGAATTTATCCCATAAGAATATAGTGAAGTTAGATTAGTCCATTTCAACCCCAAACATACAGTACAAACGCATAAATGAGAGTACACTTACCATGCCATTGGTTTTCGGCATTCCGGAGTATGGTTAGCGGGGGTCCCTTAATTTGTCGAGTCAATATTTAATTGGAAGGGGGCATCATGTTATAAAAAACACATGCTTGTTTTGCAGTTACACAGTGATACCATTTCTGAAAGTAGTGATGTAAAAAAATGGACAGGTGGTTGACCATGGCCAGTGAGTTTAGGATCATCCTATGGTTCAAACCATCTCCATGTTGTTTTCAGTATGTTATACTGTACAGTGCTGTATTATCTAATCCTGGTTAAGCAGACTACCCTGGTCACTGCCTGATGATAATAACAATAATAAAAATAATAATTGGCCAGTGTGTTAAAAATAAAATAATAATCTTTATTTCTACAAGTATATGATACAACTCATACAGACCATAGCTGACACCAATGACATACTCTATAGAAAGCTCCAGGTTATGCACAGCTTTTCGGGCAGGTTAGGTTAATTTTGTCCCCAGGATGTGACCCCACACCAGCCAACTAACACTCAGGTACCTATTTACTGCTAGGTGAACAGGGACAGCAGGTGTCTTCAGGAAATGCCTGATATTTCCATCCGTACCAGGGATCGAACCATGGACCTCTATGTGTGAGCCGAGTCTGCTACCAACTGAGCTACAGCACTATGACATTATACAGCCCATAGGCCTACAGAGCCACCACAACCTGACTAATGAAGATTATTTTGGACAGTTTCCTCTTGAAAACTTCTACCTGTTTAGACAAAATTTCTTATATCTACTACAAAAAACTGAGGAGTTATGGACCTCACATGTTGAAAGTTGTGTTCCCTACCTGTGCCTATTAAACTCCTATTACTGGTTTTATCTTACACTTCTTCCTGTAACTTTCCCTTGTGAAATTTATTACAGTAGTGATGTAGTTACTCAACATGTGAATATTTTTTATATACGGATACTAGGATGACTCAGGTCACTTTTATCGTACAATTCTTCCTGTAACTTTCCCTTGTGAAATTTATTACAGTAGTGTGTAGTTACTCAACATGTGAATATTCTTTATATATGGATACTAGGATGACTCAGGTCACTTTTAATAAACTTGTCTTCCTGTAAGTTGCCTTGTGAATTACTATAACAGTTTGAGTGTAGTGTATACCCAACATTGAAATTTAAAAATTGAACTAGAGATCAGGTGATCCTCATTAAGCAACCTATTCCACTAAGGTGTGGCATTAATACAGAAGAACAACTGTTCATGTATTACTCCTCACTGTCTGCCGAGGCAGCTGATACACATTAAAAATTTGAATCTGTAATAGTTTGTATAACTTTTCATTTATAAGCATCAAAGCCTCTGCGCAACACAAATAACTGCACTTCAAAGAAGAATGAAAACTTATTTCTATGTATTTACTCCATCATGTCTAGACCAAGATCGACTCATTAAAATTGGTTTCATGTATCTATTTGTTGTCTAGTTTATTAATGATAAAAGCCTACATGCTCTTGTAGCTGTCCTTCTGTACTGCCTCATAAAACCTACCTCCCATTCAATTAATAGGTACCAGTATACTGTGGCATATCAAAATTTCCACAGATGAGGGATGAGTTTGACTGTGGACATCCATCCCGTTACTGCGGCTCATTAGTGCTTCACCTGGCTGACTGAACGATGCACACATCCAGAGAGCTTCAACAGTAGCCTGTCTCTGAATCAGTGCCTCCTGACTATCAAGTACACAAATGTACATAATTTTTTTGTCCAAAATACCGGCCATCTTCCACCAATGCACAATGACTCGGAAAACAAGAAACCTCAAACTTTTTCTTCTTTTTACATTTAGTAATTTATACAGGAGAAAGAGTTACTAGCACCTTACTCTTGGCATTTTAGTTGCCTCGTGAATATATGCTTTTACTAAACTGATTGTTTCCCCATGAAGGTAAAGTGACCCAAAACAGGAAACATGCTCAGCATCACTAAACAGTTGTTCTGCCATCACTGGTTTGGCATCACAGTTCAAATGACACTCAAAACCACAGCATCTTCATCTATCACTCAAGAGTACAGGAATTGTACAGTATTTACAAAAGAATTGTACTATACTGTATTGGAGATGAATGCAACTATACCTGGATGACAACACTTACCCTTAGAGAAAAAAAAATTTGTTTACTTTTGGGAATAAAAAAATGCCTACAAATAAATATAAAAATAAATAAATCCTGAGTAAAGACAAAATACGAAGGTAAGTTCCTGGGTCTCCTCACATGTAATACATAAATTAAAATTCAATGCTCATATCCAGTTCATATAAAAATAAAGCGTTCAGTAAGATCACAAAAGCAGGTGACATCTTAATATGCAAAGCAACTGAAATAACAATTTTAAGCAACTTACAGCACAGACAGGATTTCTTTGTAAGAAATATAGTTAGCTTATTTTTCTTTTCAACAAACCGGCCGCATCCCACCAAGGAAGGGTGGCCCAAAAAGAAAAACTTTCGTTTTTCTTTTTAAATTTAGTAATTTGTACAGGAGAAGAGGTTACTAGCCCCTTGCTCCCGGCATTTTAGTCGCCTCTTACAACACGCATGGCTTACGGAGGAAGAATTCTGTTCCACTTCCTCATGGAGGTAAGAGGAAATAAACAAAAACAAGAACTAGAAAGAAAATAGCAGAAAACCCAGAGGGGTGTGTATAAATATGCTTGAACATGTATGTGTAGTGTGACCTAAGTGTAAGTAGAAGTAGCAAGACGTACCTGAAATCTTGCATGTTTATGAGACAGACAAAAGACACCAGTAATCCTACCATCATGTAAAACAATTACAGGCTTTCGTTTTACACTCACTTGGCAGGACGGTAGTACCTCCCTGGGTGGTTGCTGTCTACCAACTTATTATCACAAGTAATGTATCTTCTTGGGAAACAAAAATACTATTATCATTACTGCAAATAGCACCACTGAAGTAAATATATATCAAGTTTTAAAAAGCTGCACACATATATGGGTGGATAATGTTAGGTATGAACAGGACTTGGCAAGTATGGGTCAGTAAGCCTACCAAGGTGCTTCTCTGCTCTTATATGTACTGTGTTTTACTATGTTGCATTATAAACAAATGAAGTAGGCATATTATGAGGTATGACAGGCAATGTTAATGCATAACCCATTTAAAAACAATAACAATAAATATTTTCTTACAATTTGAAAAAATTAACAATTTTTTCTTAAATACTTAAGAAGGTTACAGTACTTTTATGTATATAATAAGGCACATCAGTAAACAATATAGAATACTATTCTCTGAACCAATATACTGTAGTCATTACCGAGGTAGTTAGCAGTTGCTGTCCTCACTGGTATCAGCATCATTACTTGACCTTCAGCATGACACTCAAAAGGCCAGTGATTCATTTAAGTTGCAGCGTGTTGCAGCATGGAAGACGTTCAACCAATTTTCAGTCCCTTGGTTTCTCTAATGAAGAAGAAGGTGAAAGGGATCCCCAAGAAACACACAGAGGTATAAAAGAGGTAGAGGCCGGACTGTGTAAAGCCTTCCAGCATGAGTGTGTAGAGTTGCAGGCTAGCCACCCCAAATAACGTTGCCAGAGAGTAGCAGATACTTGTAGCCTGTGTGAGGAAGGTGAGAGAGGTTAGTACAGTACTACAAGTTGAAGGTGTGAGGATTAGTACAATGTTAGTTAGTACTACTTGTTGAAAGTGTGAAGGTTAAAAAATGCTAGATGACTGCATATCAGTGACTTATTATACATGGACCTATATGATTTGACTATTTAATCCTTTACCATATAATCTCTTTGGACTTATCCTTCCCTTCCTCTGATTGAACCTGAATGCCTACCACTCACTAGGCCCTGTATGACCTCCCTACAAGCTGAGCACTTACCCCCTGATTAATAATAAATAACAAGCAACATTATCTGTTAAACTGCTCTGTATTAAAAAAAAAAAAAGGCTGCCAGATAATGTTAAACACCAAATTAGCAATTGCTGGATAATCTAATTTCTAAAAACTTTTGATGTAATACCTGAGGGCGAATCCATGTAGGGAAGTACTCGCTCATGAGGAGGAAGGGAACAGGCTGGACACCCAGGGTCACTCCAGCCTGTGAAGTCATCAGGCAGACAAGAGGAACCCAGCCATACACACGGGTGAGAACTTCCTTACAAGTCGTTATCCACACATAGAGAGCCATGCTGCCAAGTGCAACAAGCATAATGCTGAATGACAGCATTAAACTCTTCTTACGACCAATGGTATCAAGGAGGAAGAATGCCAAGCCGCCTGCTACAATCTAGAATGAAAAGTCAATATATTGAATTAATACACTTTCCTAGTGAGGCACAGGTTGTGTACAATTATAATAGGTTTTTAAGGATTTTCCCAGCTTTTGAGGTGACTATTTAGGTTTAATTCTAGGTAGTAGGTTGGTAGACAGCAACCGCCCAGGGAGGTACTACCGTCCTGCCAAGTGAGTGTAAAATGTAAGCCTGTAATTGTTTTACATGATGGTAGGATTGCTGGTGCCCATTTTTCTGTCTCATAAACATGCAAGGTTTCAGGTATGTCTTGCTACTTCTACTCACACTTAGGTCACACTACACATACATCTTTCTTTTCAACACACCGGCCGTATCCCACCTAGGCGGGGTGGCCCAAAAGGTAAAACGAAAGCTTCTCCTTTTACATTTAGTAATATATATACAGGAGAAGGGGTTAATAGCCCCTTGCTCCCGACACTACACATACATGTACAAGCATATAGTATATATACACCCCTCTGGGTTTTCTCCTATTTTCTTTCTAGTTCTTGTTCTTGTTTATTTCCTCTTATCTCCATGGTGAAGTGGAGTGGAACAGAATTCTTCCTCCGTAAGCTATGTGTGTTGTAAGAGGCAACTAAAATGCCGGGAGCAAGGGGCTAGTAACCCCTTCTCCTGTATATATTACTAAATGTAAAAGGAGAAACTTTTGTTTTTCCTTTTGGGCCACCCCGCCTCGGTGGGATACGGCCGGTGTGTTGGAAAGATTTAGGTTTAATAAGCTTAAACACTAGTAGCATATCAAACCCTAAAGAAAATTTGCCTTCACACACTCTGGTCTAACACAGTCACACATCCAATGGAAATACAAGGACCCCAACGGTTATAAGTCACTTTGTCTGACTTCTTTTGGTTATCCTAAGTAATTGACACTATGTATGATAAATGTAGTTATGTGTACTTGTACCTAAATAAACTACCTTATTTAGGTACTTATTTACAATTTAATAACATATTCTCAAAAAAATTGTACCTCACATTTATATCACTTGCTCTTCTTCTGCATTCATTTATCACCCTTTCAACTTCTCTTTACCTTTCCACATGACCCTTATTGTGTTTGCCCCCCCCCCCAAAAAAAAAAAAAATAGCAGTACAGTGGACCCCCGGTTAACGATATTTTTTCACTCCATAAGTATGTTCAGGTGCCAGTACTGACCGAATTTATTCCCAAAGGAATATTGTGAAGTAGATTAGTCCATTTCAGACCCCCAAACATACATGTACAAACGCACTTACATAAATACACTTACATAATTGGTCGCATTCGGAGTAATCGTTATGCGGGGGTCCACTGTATTTGCATCCATTTTAGCTCTAATTCCATGCACATATTTCATAAATCATGTAATGGGTGAGGTTTGAACCCATGGCGAGACGAGTCCTAAAACTCAGACTAGTACTGGTCTGTGAGGTTCAGTATTCACTTGCCATGGGGTTCAAATCCCACACATTCCTTAATTTTTCTGCAATCGTGTTATTACAATTTCATGAGTCATGATACACATTATAAATACAAGACATACAGGCTTATACTGTACATGTGTTAGGTCTACCTGAATAAAAAGTCTGAAATTACCTGTATAATAATAATGATGATTGAGCACAAGTTTTTGCTGATACTTGAGGCAGCCTCTGCAAACATCCTCGAGGCATTGCTGTTGACAACCATGTAACCTGCCAGGGGAAGGTAAACATGAATTACTAGAAATGTAGGAGAATGCAACTAATGACGATGTTTCGGCCTAACTTGGACAATTAACGAGTGACTAGTTAATGGTCCAAGTCGGACCAAGTGCAGGTTATTTGTCTCTTGTACCAGATATTGTATAGTAGTATACTGACAGATAACTGAAGTGACAGATCATTGGCACTGTTAGTCACAGGTGTGTGATAAGTTGGGTTGACATTATTACAGTAGTGACACTGAGTAATAAGATGTACTATTGTAGCAGCCACATGAAGGTCCAGATTTTGATATACAGAGGCTCTAGGCTATGACTACTTTCAAAGCCCCATTTTTTTACACAACAACAGTCTCTCACCAAGGCAAGATGGCCTGAAAAGGAAGAAACAGTTTTTCCCCTTTTTACAGTGAATATGAGGTAGTCCCATAGGATAATATTTTATTACCTCTCACAAAGATACGAAGAATAAAGAATCAACAGGTTGTGCCCAGTGTTGTATGAGACATATCATAGCATGATGCAGCAGTTGATAAGTGAGGTGCCACAGCTGAGTAACACATATGGAATACATGTCCACTAGTTTTTTTGTTAGTTTTCACAAACACATCATCTCCCACCTATGAAAGGTGACCCAAAAATGATGACACACATTTAACATCATTCTTTTAATCACTGTCTTGCCAGACGTGGGCAGATATGACAATTCACATGTCTCTCCAAATAGCAAATATCCCAAACCCCTCGGACATATTTCCTTAAGACACCTGCTGCCCCTGTTGGCCCGAGTGGCCTGGTGGTCTGGTGGCCTAAAGCTCCCGCTTCACACACGGAGGGCCCGGGTTCGATTCCCGGCCGTGGAAACATTTCGACACGTGTTTCCTTACACCTGTTGTCCTGTTCACCTAGCAGCAAATAGGTACCTGGGTGTTAGTCGACTGGTGTGGGTCGCATCCTGGGGGACAAGATTAAGGACCCCAATGGAAATAAGTTAGACAGTCCTCGATGACGCACTGACTTTCGTTGGGTTATCCTGGGTGGCTAACCCTTCGGGGTTAAAAATCCCAATGAAAATCTTATCTTATCTTATCTTCACCTAGCAGTAAGTATCTGGGTGTTAGCTGACTGGTGGGGGTTGCATTAACCTAATTTGCTTGAAATACTTTCGCATAACCAGGGGCTTTCTGTATAATATGTCACTTAGATCTATATAAGTTGTATCATGTACTTGTAGACATCAAGCTTATTATTATTATTTAGAGTGTAGTTTACATGTATCATCATATTCAAGGCAGGCTCCTTCACTGAAGAGCAGGGAGCACCTGTACACCAGGAGGGGTTCACCTGTGAAGCTCTGGAAGATAAACAGAGTAGTGACGATAGCCAGTGACTGGAGAACCTCAACTGGCGCAAACCTTTCCACACTGACTGTTTCTTATGGGCATCGTTCATTTCACGGAATGTGTTCAACTCTTGATCCAGATTGATGTATTTTCCCCGCAGCCTCAGAAGCACCTCCCTCGCCTCCGACTCCCGACCTGTACAAAATTCACATAGTTTACGTGTAATGTAACATTTTTAAGCACAAAAGAGCCACTAGTCTGCAATGCATTACCTAATGCTTAAAGACTAATTAAGAACTAGACACAGACTATCAAGTGGGATTTCTTATGCAGTTTATCACAATTATATGTACATACAATAAGAAAGGTAGCTCATGAACAAATGGTACAATTTTAAAAGTATAACTCAGTATTTCGAACTGATTCAATGATCTGTGCTGTGGAGTGACTGAATAGAGATGGTGCAAAGTTCCTTCTGTTGTAATGTATAAATAACAGGCACATACAAACATTTGCATTTACATATTAAATAAAAAACCATACACTTAAAAATGACAAAAACACTGGAAAGTTTTTTTTTTTTTTTCAACAAGTCGGCCGTCTCCCACCGAGGCAGGGTGACCCAAAGAGAAAGAAAATCCCCAAAAAGAAATACTTTCATCATCATTCAACACTTTCACCTCACTCACGCATAATCACTTTTTGCAGAGGTCCCCAGAATACAACAGTTTACAAGTTTTTTTTTTTTTTTTTCAACAAGTCGGCCGTCTCCCACCGAGGCAGGGTGACCCAAAAAATAAAGAAAATCCCCAAAAAGAAAATACTTTCATCATCATTCAACACTTTCAACACACTCGCACATTATCACTGTTTTTGCAGAGGTGCTCAGAATACAACAGTTTAGAAGCATACACATATAAAGATACACAACATATCCCTCCAAACTGCCAATATCCCAAACCCCTCCTTTAAAGTGCAGGCATTGTACTTCCCATTTCCAGGACTCAAGTCCGACTATATGAAAATAACCGGTTTCCCTGAATCCCTTCACTAAATATTACCCTGCTCACACTCCAACAAATCGTCAGGTCCCAAGTACCAGTAGCAACCGGTGAAGAGGCGGGGCCAGGAGCTAAGACTCGACCCCTGCAACCACAAATAGGTGAGTACAAATAGGTGAGTACCATTCGTCTCCATTCACTCCTATCTAACACGCTCACGCACGCTTGCTGGAAGTCCAAGCCCCTCGCCCACAACACCTCCTTTACCCCCTCCCTATTCCATATACTTGCAACATCTGCCACATTGCTCCTCTATCCATTCTATCAATGCCTTTTCTAAATCCATAAATGCAATAAAAACTTCCCTACCTTTATCTAAATACTGTTCAGATATATGCTTCAATGTAAACACTTGATCTACACATCCCCTACCCACTCTGAAACCTCCTTGCTCATCCGCAATCCTACATTCTGTCTTGCCTCTAATTCTTTCAATTATAACCCTACCATACACTTTTCCTGGTATACTCAGTAAACTTATTCCTCTATAATTATGATTATGTCTTGAAAATAATAATTATTATTATTATTATTTTTTTATTATCACACTGGCCGATTCCCACCAAGGCAGGGTGGCCCGAAAAAGAAAAACTTTCACCATCATTCACTCCATCACTGTCTTGCCAGAAGGGTGCTTTACACTACAGTTTATAAACTGCAACATTTACACCCCTCCTTCAGAGTGCAGGCACTGTACTTCCCATCTCCAGGACTCAAGTCCGGCCTGCCGGTTTCCCTGAACCCCTTCATAAATGTTACTTTGCTCACACTCCAACAGCACGTCAAGTATTAAAAACCATTTGTCTCCATTCACTCCTATCAAACACGCTCACGCATGCCTGCTGGAAGTCCAAGCCCCTCGCACACAAAACCTCCTTTACCCCCTCCATCCAACTTTTCCTAGGCCGACCCCTACCCCGCCTTCCTTCCACTACAGACTGATACACTCTTGAAGTCATTCTGTTTCGCTCCATTCTCTCTACATGTCCGAACCACCTCAACAACCCTTCCTCAGCCCTCTGGACAACAGTTTTGGTAATCCCGCACCTCCTCCTAACTTCCAAAGTACGAATTCTCTGCATTATATTCACACCACACATTGCCCTCAGACATGACATCTCCACTGCCTCCAGCCTTCTCCTCGCTGCAACATTCATCACCCATGCTTCACACCCATATAAGAGCGTTGGTAAAACTATATACTCTCATACAATCCCCTCTTTGCCTCCAAGGACAAAGTTCTTTGTCTCCACAGACTCCTAAGTGCACCACTCACCCTTTTCCCCCTCATCAATTCTATGATTCACCTCATTTTTCATAGACCCATCCGCTGACACGTCCACTCCCAAATATCTGAATACATTCACCTCCTCCATACTCTCTCCCTCCAATCTGATATCCAATCTTTCATCACCTAATCTTTTTGTTATCCTCATAATCTTACTCTTTCCTGTATTCACTTTTAATTTTCTTCTTTTGCACACCCTACCAAATTCATCCACCAATCTCTGCAACTTCTCTTCAGAATCTCCCAAGAGCACAGTGTCATCAGCAAAGAGCAACTGTGACAACTCCCACTTTATGAGTGATTCTTTATCTTTTAACTCCACGCCTCTAGCCAAGACCCTCCCATTCACTTCTCTTACAACCCCATCTATAAATATATTAAACAACCATGGTGACATCACACATCCTTGTCTAAGGCCTACTTTTACTGGGAAATAATTTCCCTCTTTCCTACATACTCTAACTTGAGCCTCACTATCCTCGTAAAAACTCTTCACTGCTTTCAGTAACCTACTTCCTACACCATACACCTGCAACATCTGCCACATTGCCCCCCTATCCACCCTGTCATACGCCTTTTCCAAATCCATAAATGCCACAAAGACCTCTTTAGCCTTATCTAAATACTGTTCACTTATATGTTTCACTGTAAACACCTGGTCCACACACCCCTACCTTTCCTAAAGCCTCCTTGTTCATCTGCTATCCTATTCTCCGTCTTACTCTTAATTCTTTCAATAATAACTCTACCATACACTTTACCAGGTATACTCAACAGACTTATCCCCCTATAATTTTTGCACTCTCTTTTATCCCCTTTGCCTTTATACAAAGGAACTATGCATGCTCTCTGCCAATCCCTAGGTACCTTACCCTCTTCCATACATTTATTAAATAATTGCACCAACCACTCCAAAACTATATCCCCACCTGCTTTTAACATTTCTATCTTTATCCCATCAATCCCAGCTGCCTTACCCCCTTCCATTTACCTACTGCCTCACGAACTTCCTCCACACTCACAACTGGCTCTTCCTCACTCCTGCAAGATGTTATTCCTCCTTGCCCTATACACGAAATCACAGCTTCCCTATCTTCATCAACATTAACAATTCCTCAAAATATTCCCTCCATCTTCCCAATACCTCTAACTCTCCATTTAATAACTCTCCTCTCCTATTTTTAACTGACAAATCCATTTGTTCTCTAGGCTTCCTTAACTTGTTAATCTCACTCCAAAACTTTTTTTTATTTTCAACAAAATTTGTTGATAACATCTCACCCACCCTCTCATTTGCTCTCTTTTTACATTGCTTCACCACTCTCTTAACCTCTCTCTTTTTCTCCATATACTCTTCCCTCCTTGCATCACTTCTACTTTGTAAAAACTTCTCATATGCTAACTTTTTCTCCCTTACTACTCTCTTTACATCATCATTCCACCAATCGCTCCTCTTCCCTCCCGCACCCACTTTCCTGTAACCACAAACTTCTGCTGAACACTCTAACACTACATTTTTAAACCTACCCCATACCTCTTCGACCCCATTGCCTATGCTCTCATTTGCCCATCTATCCTCCAATAGCTGTTTATATCTTACCCTAACTGCCTCCTCTTTTAGTTTATAAACCTTCACCTCTCTCTTCCCTGATGCTTCTATTCTTATTATTTGCTTTTATACACACTGTTGTCTCCCACTGAAGTAGAATGGCCTAAGAAAAAAAAAGGAAACACAATAATCATCATTCTTTCAATCACTGTCTTGCCAGAAGTGTGCTGACACCATAGTTCAGATGACCCTCCCACCAGCACCACCCCTCCTTCAGAGTGAAGGCTCTATACTTTCCAACTCCAGGACTCAAGTCCAGCTAACCAGTTTCCTTGAATTTCTTCATACAAGGTAACATGCTCACTTTACAACAACACATGATTATTATTATGTTCACAGGGAAGCACAAAGTCTGAAAGGGTTATAGAGGATTTGATTAATGGGAGGTAATGAGGTCTGATCCAAGGAAAGGAAGGGTAGTTTTAATTCCATGAATCAAGACCAATCACCAGTATTAAGGGATGACAATTATTAAGGTGATATGTGATGAAATTACCTTTGAGGATGAGGAAAGATGGACTCTCGGGTAGCCAGAGTACACTCAGGAGGAGTACCATAGGAATGACAATGTTGACAAAGGCCACTGTAAAGTAGCGAGCATTGTAGCCCACAGCCATCGTCACCAGCTGACCTGCAATAAAACACTTCACATCACTATTCTTGCATATTAATGGATAACAGTATCAACAAGTATGTAAATAAGACACACGTGCAACACTTCTTTATCTTCATCGTAGAGACGGGCCCCTCTTATACAGCAGGTTAGGTTCTGGGCTACTGTAGGGCCCCTCTTATACAGCAGGTTAGGTTCTGGGCTACTGCTGTAAACCGAAAATTGCTGTAAAGTGAAACACAACCTTTTTTCACTTCAAATGCATATAAAAGCCTGATACCATGTTTAAACTCACATATTAAATGAGCAATAGAACTAGGCCTTAAAAATGCATATTCAGTAGACACATTACTTACCTTAAAATATTTTCTTTCTTAGCTTATAGTGAATGGTGAATATATTTATTGTAGGAAGTCTGAATAAATGAAGAATGAGTATAAATGAAAACTGCTGCAGTAGCAGAACACCATAAAGCGAAGTGCGGTAAAGCAGGACCTTCCTATAGATGTATTTTGCCAACCACTGTCTTCATTATATACAATATTATTCTTTGTATTAAACTGATAAAGCCACTGGTTGGCAAAACTTCTCTTCAAGAAAAATAATAATGACAAGTGTTGGACGTGTCTCATTCATCACCGTTCTCATTTCAAAACAATGCAAAAAGATCAATATTCGCTTTGTTCATAAAACATTTTCTTGTAATTCCTGCATGTTCCACTGTCATCACATGTATTATTACTCCACGTTCTTTCTTTCTTTCAACACACCGGCCGTATCCCACCGAGGCGGGGTGGCCCAAAAGGAAAAACGAAAGTTTCTCCTTTTACATTTAGTAATATATACAGGAGAAGAGGTTACTAGCCTTTTGCTCCCGGCATTTTAGTCGCCTCTTACAACACGCATGGCTTATGGAGGAAGAATTCTGTTCCACTTTCCCATGGAGGTAAGAGGAAATAAACAAGAACAAGAACTAGTAAGAAAAATGGAAGAAAACCCAGAGGTGTGTGTGTATATACATATATGCTTGTACATGTATGTGTAGTGTGACCTAAGTGTAAGTAGAAGTAGCAAGACGTACCTGAAACCTTGCATGTTTATGAGACAGAAAAATGGACACCAGCAATCCTACTCTACATAGTGACATTAAAAAAATACTAATGTTTCATAAGTAAAATACAGTATCTACTTTTGGCTTACAATACTCCCAAGCACATTTGTTCCATTTCAGAATTAATACATTATTTTACAATGAGGGAGAGTGATAGTACATAGTACAGAAATCAGTTTTTTTTAAATCGAGGAAAAGTACAAAACTGACAGCGCACAAAATGCGCGCTAAAGGAATAACAGGAAAAGTCGGTCGATGGATCTATAATTTCCTCACTAACAGAACACAGAGAGTAGTCGTCAACAGAGTAAAGTCCGGGGCAGCTACGGTGAAAAGCTCTGTCCCACAAGGCACAGTACTAGCTCCCATCTTGTTCCTCATCCTCATATCCGACATAGACAAGGATGTCAGCCACAGCACCGTGTCTTCCTTTGCAGATGACACCCGAATCTGCATGACAGTGTCTTCCATTGCAGACACTGCAAGGCTCCAGGCGGACATCAACCAAATCTTTCAGTGGGCTGCAGAAAACAATATGAAGTTCAACGATGAGAAATTTCAATTACTCAGATATGGTAAACATGAGGAAATTAAATCTTCATCAGAGTACAAAACAAATTCTGGCCACAAAATAGAGCGAAACACCAACGTCAAAGACCTAGGAGTGATTATGTCGGAGGATCTCACCTTCAAGGACCATAACATTGTATCAATTGCATCTGCTAGAAAAATGACAGGATGGATAATGAAAACCCTTCAAAACTAGGGAGGCCAAGCCCATGATGACACTCTTCAGGTCACTTGTTCTATCTAGGCTGGAATATTGCTGCACTCTAACAGCACCTTTCAAGGCAGGTGAAATTGCCGACCTAGAAAATGTACAGAGAACTTTCACGGCGCGCATAACGGAGATAAAACACCTCAATTACTGGGAGCGCTTGAGGTTTCTAAACCTGTATTCCTGGAACGCAGGAGGGAGAGATACATGATTATATACACCTGGAAAATCCTAGAGGGACTAGTACCAAACTTGCACACGAAAATCACTCACTACGAAAGCAAAAGACTTGGCAGACGATGCACCACCCCCCCAATGAAAAGCAGGGGTGTCACTAGCACGTTAAGAGACCATACAATAAGTGTCAGGGGCCCGAGACTGTTCAACTGCCTCCCAGCACACATAAGGGGGATTACCAACAGACCCCTGGCAGTCTTCAAGCTGGCACTGGACAAGCACCTAAAGACAGTTCCTGATCAGCCGGGCTGTGGCTCGTACGTTGGTTTGCGTGCAGCCAGCAGCAACAGCCTGGTTGATCAGGCGCTGATCCACCAGGAGGCCTGGTCACAGACCGGGCCGCGGGGGCGTTGACCCCCGAAACTCTCTCCAGGTAAACTCCAGGTACAGTACCTGGGGAATGAGAGGCATTCAGGTTTGATCCAAGAAAGGGAAGGATAGGTCCAGTTACTTGTATCAAGAGCCCCTCACTGTCATCAAGGACTTGGACCATAAACTAGTCACTAGTTAATGGTCCAAGTTGGACCAAAACATCATCATAAGTTTCATTCTCCTATGTGCAGGTTATTTGTGTATTGTTCCAGTTATGGTATTGTGCCTTTTTATCCTTTCTTAAGAATTAAATTTCTACTTCTACTGATAGTGCCATCTATAACCTTTGAACAATTCTACTAATGTACTGCCTTCAATAGGTGCTTTGATGCTAATGAAGGGTTCATGATCAAAGGAACTAGAGGTACTCTCACCTCCCCTAGATCAAAGCTAATTACTACCTATTCCCTGGGCACTTTATGACTCACGAGTTTAACATGACTCCACAATTATAACAATAACAACAGTGATACTATTCAACGTAAGTAAACCTTACTGACTCAAGTGCTGGTGTACTTACACTTTCTTCATATCGAATGCATGAGTAATCATACTGACTTTTTTTTTTTTTCCCAACAAGTCAGCCGTCTCCCACCGTGTCAGGGTGACCCAAAAAGAAAGAAAATCCCAAAAAGAAAATACTTTCATCATCATTCAACATTTTCACCTTACTCATACATAATCACTGTCTATGCAGAGGTGCCCAGATACAACAGTTTAGAAGCATCTTCTTCTTCTTTCAACACACCAGCCGTATCCCACCGAGGCGGGGTGACCCAAAAGAAAAAACTAAAGTTTCTCCTTTTAAATTTAGTAATATATACAGGAGAAGGGGTTACTAGCCCCTTGCTCCCGGCATTTTAGTCGCCTCTTACGACATGCATGGCTTACAGAGGAAGAATTCTGTTCCACTTCCCCATGGAGGTAAGAGGAAATAAACAAGAACAAGAATTAGAAAGAAAATAGAAGAAAACCCAGAGGGGTGTGTATATATATGCTTGTACACGTATGTGTAGTGTGACCTAAATGTAAGTAGAAGTAGCAAGACTTACCTGTAATCTTGCATATTTATGAGACAGACAAAAGACACCAGCAATCCTACCATCATGTAAAACAATTACAGGTTTTCGTTTTACACTCACTTGGCAGGACAGTAGTACCTCCCTGGATGGTTGCTGTCTACCAACCTACTACCTATAAAGATACACAACATATCCCTCCAAACTGCCAATATCCCAAACCCCTCTTTTGAAGTGCAGCCACTGTACTTCCCATTTCCAGAACTCAAGTCCGGCTATATAAAAATAACCGGTTTCCCTGAATCCCTTCACTAAATATTACCCTGCTTACACTCCAACAGCTCGACAGGTCTCAAAAACCATTGGTCACCATGCTGACTCCTATCTAACACGCTCACGCACGCTTGCTGGAAGTCCATGCCCTTCGCCAACAAAACCTTCTTTACCCCCTCTCTCCAACCTTTTCGAGGACAACCCATACCCCGTCTTCCTTTCCCTACAGATTTATACGCTCTCCATGTCATTCTACTTCGATCCATTCTCTCTAAATGACCAAACCACCTCAACAACCCCTCTTCAGCCCTCTGACTAATACTTTTATTAACTCCACACCTTCTCCTAATTTCCACACTCTGAATTCTCTGCATAATATTTACACCACTGTCTCCAACCACCTCCTCGCTGCAGCATTTACAACCCAAGCTTCACACCCATATAAGAGTGTTGGTACCATTATACTTTCATACATTCCCTTCTTTGCCTTTTTTTTGGGTTATCCTAGGAAATTTACATTATGTATGATAACTGTACATGTGCTCCTCAACTTACAAAGGTTCGACTTACAATATTTTAACTTTACGATGGTGAGAAAGCAATTACAGTGGACCCCCGCTTAACGATCACCTCCAAATGCGACCAATTATGTAAGTGTATTTATGTAAGTGCGTTTGTACGTGTATGTTTGGGGGTCTGAAATGGACTAATCTACTTCACAATATTCCTTACGGGAAAAAATTCGGTCAGTACTGGCACCTGAACATACTTCTGGAGTGAAAAAAGTTCGTTAACCGGGGGTCCACTGTACTTTGAAGATGAAACTGAAGATAATTACCCAGCATGAAGGCAGCAAAGCCATATCTTGTACACTTTTTTTTTAAACTTTTCAATACTGGTATTCAGTTAGTTACAGCAACTATTTGTTTATTTATTTATTCAGTGACATTAGTTATTACTTATTTTTTTTTTTTTTTTTTTTATTATCACACCGGCCGATTCCCACCAAGGCAGGGTGGCCCGAAAAAGAAAAACTTTCACCATCATTCACTCCATCACTGTCTTGCCAGAAGGGTGCTTTACACTACAGTTTTTAAACTGCAACATTAACACCCCTCCTTCAGAGTGCAGGCACTGTACTTCCCATCTCCAGAACTCAAGTCCGGCCTGCCGGTTTCCCTGAATCCCTTCACAAATGTTACTTTGCTCACACTCCAACAGCACGTCAAGTATTAAAAACCACTTGTCTCCATTCACTCCTATCAAACACGCTCACGCATGCCTGCTGGAAGTCCAAGCCCCTCGCACACAAAAACCTCCTTTACCCCCTCCCTCCAACCCTTCCTAGGCCGGCCCCTACCCCGCCTTCCTTCCACTACAGACTGATACACTCTTGAAGTCATTCTGTTTCGCTCCATTCTCTCTACATGTCCGAACCACCTCAACAACCCTTCCTCAGCCCTCTGGACAACAGTTTTGGTAATCCGCACCTCTCCTAACTTCCAAACTACTAATTCTCTGCATTATATTCACACCACACATTGCCCTCAGACATGACATCTCCACTGCCTCCAGCCTTCTCCTCGCTGCAACATTCATCACCCACGCTTCACACCCATATAAGAGCGTTGGTAAAACTATACTCTCATACATTCCCCTCTTTGCCTCCAAGGACAAAGTTCTTTGTCTCCACAGACTCCTAAGTGCACCACTCACTCTTTTCCCTCATCAATTCTATGATTCACCTCATCTTTCATAGACCCATCCGCTGACACGTCCACTCCAAATATCTGAATACGTTCACCTCCTCCATACTCTCTCCCACCAATCTGATATTCAATCTTTCATCACCTAATCTTTTTGTTATCCTCATAACCTTACTCTTTCCTGTATTCACCTTTAATTTTCTTCTTTTGCACCACCCTACCAAATTCATCCACCAATCTCTGCAACTTCTCTTCAGAATCTCCCCAAGAGCACAGTGTCATCAGCAAAGAGCAGCTGTGACAACTCCCACTTTGTGTGTGATTCTTTATCTTTTAACTCCACGCCTCTTGCCAAGACCCTCGCATTTACTTCTCTTACAACCCCATCTATAAATATAATTAAACAACCACGGTGACATCACACATCCTTGTCTAAGGCCTACTTTTACTGGAAAAAATTTCCCTCTTTCCTACATACTCTAACTTGAGCCTCACTATCCTCGTAAAAACTCTTCACTGCTTTCAGTAACCTTTACCTCCTACACCATACACTTGCAACATCTGCCACATTGCCCCCCTATCACCCTGTCATACGCCTTTTCCAAATCCATAAATGCCACAAAGACCTCTTTAGCCTTATCTAAATACTGTTCACTTATTTGTTTCCTGTAAACACTGGTCCACACACCCCCTACCTTTCCTAAAGCCTCCTTGTTCATCTGCTATCCTATTCTCCGTCTTACTCTTAATTCTTTCAATTATAACTCTACCATACACTTTACCGGGTACACTCAACAGACTTATCCCCTATAATTTTTGCACTCTCTTTTATCCCTTTGCCTTTATACAAAGGAACTATGCATGCTCTGCCAATCCCTAGGTACCTTACCCTCTTCCATACATTTATTAAAAAAATTGCACCAACCACTCCAAAACTATATCCCCACCTGCTTTTAACATTTCTATCTTTATCCCATCAATCCCGGCTGCCTTACCCCCTTTCATTTTACCTACTGCCTCACGAACTTCCCCCACCCCTCACAACTGGCTCTTCCTCACTCCAAACAAGATGTTATTCCTCCTTGCCCTATACACGAAATCACAGCTTCCCTATCTTCATCAACATTTAACAATTCCTCAAAATATTCCTTCCATCTTCCCAATACCTCTAACTCTCCATTTAATAACCCCTCCCTCCTATTTTTAAAACTGACAAATCAATTTGTTCTCTAGGCTTTCTTAATTTGTTAATCTCACTCCAAAACTTTTTTTTTTTCAACAAAATTTGTTGATAACATCTCACCCACTCTCTCATTTGCTCTCTTTTTACATTGCTTCACCACTCTCTTAACCTCTCTCTTTTTCTCCATATACTCTTCCCTCCTGCATCACTTCTACTTTGTAAAAACTTCTCATATGCTAATTTTTTCCCCCTTACTACTCTTTACATCATCATTCCACCAATCGCTCCTCTTCCCTCCTGCCCCACTTTCCTGTAACCCCCAAACTTCTGCTGAACACTCTAACACTACATTTTTAAACCTCCCCCATACCTCTTCAAACCCCATTGCCTATGCTCTCATTACCCCATCTATCCTCCAATAGCTGTTTATATCTTACCCAAAACTGCCTCCTCTTTTTGTTTATAAACCTTCACCTCTCTCTTCCCTGATGCTTCTATTCTCCTTGTATCCCATCTCCCTTTTACTCTCAGTGAGCTCAACTAGAAAGTGATCTGATATATCTGTGGCCCTCTATAAACATGTACATCCTGAAGTCTACTCAACAGTCTTTATCTACCAATACATAATCCAACAAACTACTGTCATTTCGCCCTACATCATATCGTGTATACTTATTTATCCCCTTTTTCTTAAAATATGTATTACCTATAACTAAACCCCTTTCTATAAAAAAGTTCAATCAAGGGCTCCCATTATCATTTACACCTGGCACCCCAAACTTACCTACCACACCTCTCTAAAAGTTTCTCCTACTTTAGCATTCAAGTCCCCTACCACAATTACTCTCTACTTGGTTCAAAGGCTCCCATACATTCACTTAAATCTCCCAAAATCTCTCTCTCTCCTCTGCATTCCTCTCTTCTCCAGGTGCATACACGCTTATTATGACCCCCTTCTCGATCCAACCTTTACTTAATCCACATAATTCTTAAATTTACACATTCATATTCTCTTTTCTCCTTCCATAACTGATCATTTAACATTACTGCTACCCCTTCCTTTGCTCTAACTCTCTCAGATACTCCAGATTTAATCCCATTTTTTTCCCCCCACTGAAACTCTCCTACCCCTTCAGCTTTGTTTGGGCTTAGGGCAGGACATCCAACTTCTTTTCATTTCATAACATCAGCAATCATCTGTTTCTTGTCATCCGCACTACATCCACGCACATTTAGCAACCCAGTTTTATAAAGTTTTTCTTCTTCTCTTTTTTAGTAATTGTATACAGGAGAAGGGGTTACTAGCCCATTGCTCCCGGCATTTTAGTCGCCTCATACGACACGCATGGCTTACGGAGGAAAGATTCTTTTCCACTTCCCCATGGACAATAGAAGAAATAAAAAAGAACAAGAGCTATTTAGAAAAAGGAGAAAAACCTAGATGTATGTATATATATATATGCATGTGCGTGTCTGTGAAGTGTGACCAAAGTGTAAGTAGGAGTAGCAAGATATCCCTGTTATCTTAGCGTGTTTATGAGACAGAAAAAGAAACCAGCAATCCTACCATCATGCAAAACAGTTACAGGTGTTTTTGTTTCACAGTCATCTGGCAGGACGGTAGTACTTCCCTGGGTGGTTGCTGTCTACCAACCTACTACCTCTTATTTATTTAGCATATATTAATATTCAGCTTACGATGTTTTTGACTTACGATGCGTTCGTCAGAACGTAACTCCCCATCATGAGTTGAGGAGCGCCTGCATTTATGTGTACCTGTGCCTAAATAAACTTACTAATACACACAGCAACCAGCACAGCCTAGCTGAGCTTTTAAAAGGTTCATTAACAAATGCTCGCAAGCACTTTGTCAAAAGTTCTTACCAAACTGGACGCCAAGGTTGATTATGACGGACAAAGTACCTCTCCAGTGGACGTCAGTTACCTCGGCTCTGTATGTGTTGATGCAGACACTAGCCCCTCCTGCTGCTGCCCCAGACACAAACCTGCACAAGACAACACACAGCTGAAAAATATGCAGGGTATTTGAGGACTTACAAGTGTCTGTCTGACATACTTATATTCAATATGAAATCATTATTCAATGATCTTGAACACTGAATTTGTATAATTTTTTTTATATAGAATATGATCCTACCAGACATATTACCTGTAGCATACATAGTAGTATGCTACACTATTGCAACAAAGTTTATTATGTTATGTAAACATACCATACCCCAGCCGGGTATGACTCTGACGGCGGGTTCAATCCCGGCCGGGGTATGGTTTGTTTGCAATCGTGTCATTACGATTTTCTGAGTTATGTAAACATATCCTGGCACCTAGGGGTAACAGCCTTGTTTAAAGGCATTTAAAATATTAAACAAAATATGCCAACCTAAGGCCGAGCTTCTTCACAAAAACTAAATGGTCAATACTTATATTAATTATCAGGAAGGTCAATTAAATTCACTTTTATAAAAATATAGTAAACTTGCATATATAACATACAACCTACCCTCTACATATTACATAAAACACACCAGTATACCTGTACCAGGTATGTACTTTAGGCCACCTACAAAATACAGTGGACCCCCGGTTAACGATATTTTTTTCATTCCAGAAGTATGTTCAGGTGCCAATACTGACCGAATTTGTTCCCATAAGGAATATTGAGAAGTAGATTAGTCCATATCAGACCCCCAAACATACACGTACTAACGCACTTACATAAATACACTTACATAATTGGTCGCATTGGGAGGTGATCGTTATGCGGGGGTCCACTGTATTACCTAAACCCACTAGTACAGTGATACTAGTTACTTAAACAGTGGGATTCCATGACATCTTTACCTTCAGCAGGCCTTTTAGCCTGCAGGCAAAAACACTAAACATGTACACTCCAAAACAGGCCCTCCATATGCTAGGACCTTACAGGCAAAATCATGAGGGTGCAAAAACAATAAAATAACCTATGGCCTAAATTTACCCAAAATACCACCCCCTACTCAAACAAACACCAATACCATGACGTCTTGCTCCAACCACGGCTCTGTCAGTACTGCAACAAACGCCTCTCCTTATTCTCGCCTGGCCACTCTGACTGACCAGGACTAATATGCGTCTGGTTTTAGAACAAATCCCATCCACTGACATTATTTTAATGGACTGTTTTTTTATAAGCATATTTTCTACAATGCCCAGCATAATATCTATATAGAAAATTAATGTATAATATTGGCAGTTTAGTATGATTAATTCTCTCCATCCATACACTCATCAAACATTACCACTTCCAGGGAGAGCTCTTATAAACATTTTAGCAACCAGTGGCTTCCTCAGTCCAATATAGAGAAGAATGACTCTTATCAAGATTGATAGACCAATCACATCAACTCCAGGCTGAGGGTCTGGTTACCTCAAACTCCTTCTGATCTTCAACCATTCTTCTCTGTTGTTAGGTAAGACACATATGCAACAGTTAGGTATCTTTATTTCGAAACATTTCGCCTACACAGTAGGCTTCTTCAGTCGAGTACAGAAAAGTTGATAGAAGCAGAAGAGACTTGAAGACGATGTAATCAGTCCATCACCCTTAAAGTTTTGAGGTGGTCAGTCCCTCAGTCTAGAGAAGAGCATTGTTTCAGACTATGAAACAATGCTCTTCTCTAGACTGAGGGACTGACCACCTCAAAACTTTAAGGGTGATGGACTGATTGCATCGTCTTCAAGTCTCTTCTGCTTCCATCAACTTTTCTGTACTCGACTGAAGAAGCCTACTGTGTAGGCGAAACGTTTCGAAATAAAGATACCTAACTGTTGCATATGTGTCTTACCTAACAACCTGTCAGTATTTTATACCATTTTAATGTTCATTCTTCTCTGTATTGGACTGAGGAAGCCAACTGGTTGGCAAAACGTTTCCACAATACAGTTACACAAATGTCTAATTCATCATCCTGTCAGTTCTTTGAACCATTTATCTACATTACAGCACTTAGAAATTATTTATAGATTTTTATTTAACACACTGGTCATCTCCTGCCAAGGAAGAGTGACCCAAAAAGTGAGATGAAATCACAGTTCAGATGGCCATCCAAACTGCAACATCCTCACACCTCCTTCAGAGTGCAGGTACTGTACTTCCCACCTCCAGGACTCAAGTCTGGCTAACCAGATTACCTGAATCCCTTGCCAACAGAAACTCCTTCCAAATAAAAGATTCCTTCTTTATAAGTGTAGCCAGGGCTATAAACCTCTTTCTCTTAAAGGATGCCACAATTTGTAAATAAAAAACCAAGAACTCAACTCATTTGTAAGTAGGGACCTCTTATACGAGTCACAACATTAACATTCTTAGTTAAGCAATAAAAGAAATGTACTATAAAATACCCACTGGATAAACTACCAAAAACTAAAGGACATATATACTGTATACTTCATGTATAATTCACAAAGAATAATGAAAAAAATTAGGCACATAATGGAAGCTTGCCTTGCTACCAGGAGACCCGGAACAGAAGGGAGGAGGGCCACACCAAGCCAGCTAAGCATGGCCATCACAGCGATCACCATCATGCTGAAGCGACGACCCAACACAACCATCACTGCTCCTATGAGCCATGACCCAGGAAGACACCCTAGAGCTGCTAAACCACCTGAGGGCAAGAAAGTATATTATTACCCCTCTTACCTCTACCTCTGAGTTCTGGCTTGCTACACACCCAATGTCTGGGTATTCAAAGGTGTCCATTATTGTGATATTCATGGGAAAGAGCTAAACTCATATGGGCATACAGTGTAATAAATTTTGATCCAAGTACAAAGAAGGCAACTCAAATTCCACAGAGCAAGAGCCCTTAACAAGCATCTAGGGAAGGGAACAAATTTTATTTCTATAATGTTGAGTAGAGTATATTATACAATTAATTTGATAATCATATATAAACTACTTTATAGAAAGACCCTTATTATGCAAGGCATTTTGGGCAACCTTCAAACTAAATAAAGCATAAGTAATAAGGCAACTCACTTAAGGCATCCAGTTGAAGGCTGGTGAGGACAATGGGTGAGCCATAGATGGTTGTATTGTATGAAGATAAGTCTTGAGACACCACAGATGGGTAGGCTATTACAGACCCCATTGTCCACATGCCTGAGCTTGCCAAGAAACAGATCAGTGCCTGTAAGATAAGATTTGCTGGGACTTTTAACCAGAAGGGTTAGCCACCCAGAATAACTCACGAACGTCAGTGCATCACTGGAAACTTTTGTATACTTATTTCCATTGGGGTTCTTCAGTCTTGTCCCCCCAGGATGAGACCGACACCGGTCGACTTACCTACTTCCTACTCTTCCTACTAGGTGAACAGTGACATCAGGCATAAGGAAACATGCATAACATTACCATCCGACTGGGGACTGAACCACGAACACTCAGTGCATGAAGCAAGTGTTGCCAACCAAGCCACATTAATGTATTATTATTATTACAATTAAAACTAAATGCTAAACGTACAAGGGTCATACAGCACCACATTAATGTAATATGTACAACAGTGTTTCTCAAGTGGATGTTCCCCAACACTGTTTTATTATAAGTAAACTACATTATTTTTGTACTGCATAAAAAAATATAAATTTGAATCTGATGCTTGGAATCATCAATTAAGAAACAAAATCATTAAACAAATTTATTAAACAAAACAAAGGTTTAGATAATAAGATATTACAAGGACCCCAATGGAAATAAGTCACTTTATCTGACTTATTGGGGTTATTATATTGTATGCATGTTGTACGCATAAGCTGTATACCTGTACTTGTAGAAATAAAAATTATTATTATTAAGAGTTGAAAATTGAAAATGGACCACTGTCTGGAAAATCTTCCAGCTCCTGCCCCCAACATCTTGCTCCTGGGGGGATTTCAACTTAAGGCACCTAAAATGGAGGAATATAGCAAATAATGTTGTTGCAGTGATAACACCAGGAGGCAGCTCTGATGAGAACTCACACACGAGATTTTAAATCTCTGCACAAAATTAAACTTAAACCAGCAAATAACAGAGCCTACTAGACTGGAGAATACACTGGACCTCATCTTCGCTTACAATGATGATCTGATACGAAATGTCACCATATCAAAAACAATATACTCGGATCACAACATAATCGAGGTTCAGACATGTATGCGTGGAGCTCCAGACTGACAAAATGAGATTAGTCACGAGGGAGCATTCACCAAATTCAACATCAATAACAAGAACATAAAGTGGGACCAAGTAAACCAAGCCATAAACGATATAAGCTGGGAAGATAAGACTAAGCAACACAGACCCCAACTTATGCTCAGAACAGATTAACTCTGTGGCACTCGATGTAAAATAGAAAGAGACAGGCACTCCCTTTACAGGCGATGGAAAAGAAAAACAGAGCGGCTAAAAGAGGTCAATATATCTGAAATGCGTAAGGAGACACTGGTGAGAGAAATAGCAAACACCGAACTAAAGCTAAAGGAATCTTATTGAACATAAGAACATAAGAATGGAGGAACACTGCAGAAAGCCTACTGGCCCATGCGAGGCAGGTCCTTATCAAAACGACTACTACCTAAAGCTTCCCAAGAAATAACTCCCTTACCCAATTGGAGTCAGGAATCGCGGGAAGAACTAAAAGCCATAAATGAAATCGAAAGAAACCCAAAGTACAGTGGACCCCCGCTTAACGATCACTTCCCAATGCGACCAATTATGTAAGTGTATTTATGTAAGTGCGTTTGTGCGTGTATGTTTGGGGGTCTGAAATGGACTAATCTACTTCACAATATTCCTTATGGGAACAAATTCGATCAGTACTGGCACCTGAACATACTTCTGGAATGAAAAAATATCGTTAACCGGGGGTCCACTGTATTTCTTTTCTTATGCCAAATCAAAGTCGAGAACAACATCCAGTATTGGGCCCCTACTTAAACAAGATGGGTCCTACACAGATGACAGCAAGGAAATGAGTGAGCTACTCAAGTCCCAATATGACTCAGTTTTTAGCAAGTCGCTAACCAGACTGAGAGTCGAAGTTCTGAATGAATTTTTATGAGAGAGCCACAGAATTTGGTAAACACAAGCCTATCTGATGTTATCCTGATGCCAAATGACTTCGAACAGGCGATAAATGACATGCCCATGCACTCTGCCCCAGGGCCAGGCTCATGGAACTCCGTGTTCATCAAGAACTGCTTTTAACATCCTATGGAGAGGGAGCATGGACACTGGGGTCGTCCCACAGTTACTAAAAACAACAGACATAGCCCCACTCCACAAAGGGGGCAGTAAAGCAATAGCAAAGAACTACAGACCGATAGCACTAACATCCCATATCATAAAAATCTTTGAAAAGGTCCTAAGAAGCAAGATTGCCACCCATCTGGATACCCATCAATTACACAACCCAGAGCAAATGGGTTTAGAGCAGGTTGCTCCTGTCTGTCCCAACTACTGGGTCACTACGACAAGGTCCTAGATGCACTAGAAGACAAAAAGAATGCAGATGTAATATACAAGACTTTGAAAAAGCCTTCGACAAGTGTGACCATGGGGTAATAGCGCACAAAATGCGTGCTAAAGGAATAACAAGAAAAGTTGGTAGATGGATATATAATTTCCTCACAAACAGAGCACAAAGAGTAGTAGTCAACAGAGTAAAGTCTGAGGCGGCTACAGTGAAAAGCTCTGTTCCGCAAGGCACAGTACTTGCTCCCATCTTGTTTCTCATCCTCATATCTGATATAAACAAGGATGTCAGCCACAGCACCGTGTCTTCCTTTGCAGATGACACCCGAATCTGCATGACAGTGTCTTCCATTGCAGACACTGCAAGGCTCCAGGTGGACATCAACCAAATCTTTCAATGGGCTGCAGAAAACAATATGAAGTTCAACGATAAGAAATTTCAATTACTCTGATATGGTAAACATGAGGAAATTAAAACTTCATCAGAGTATAAAACAAATTCCAGCCACAAAATAGAGCGAAAAACTAACGTCAAAGACCTGGGAGTGATCATGTCGGAGGATCTCACCTTCAAGGACCATAACATTGTATCAATCGCATCTGCTAGAAAAATGACAGGATGGATAATGAGAACCTTCAAAACTAGGAATGCCAAGCCCATGATGACACTCTTCAGGCCGCTTGTTCTATCTAGGCTGGAATATTGCTGCACACTAACAGCACTTTTCAAGGCAGGTGAAATTGCTGACCTAGAAAATGTAGAGAACCTTCACGGCACGCATAACAGAGATAAAACACCTCAATTACTGGGAGCGCTTGAAGTTCCTGAACCTGTACTCCCTGGAATGCAGGCAGGAGAGATACATGATTATATACACCTGGAAAATACTAGAGGGGCTAGTACCAAACTTGCACACAAAAATCACTCTCTACGAAAGCAAAAGACTCGGCAGACGATGCAACATCCCCCCAATGAAAAGCAGGAGTGTCACTAGCACGTTAAGAGACAACACAATAAGTGTCAGGGGCCCAAGACTGTTCAACTGCCTCCCAGCATACAAAAGGGGGATTACCAATAGACCTCTGGCTGTCTTCAAGCAGGCAATGGACAAGCACTTGAAGTCGGTACCTGACCAGCCGGGCTGTGGCTCGTACGTTGGATTGCGTGCAGCCAGCAGTAACAGCCTGGTTGATCAGGCCCTGATCCACCATGAGGCCTGGTCACAGACCAGGCCAGGGGGCCTTGACCCCCGGAACTCTCTCCAGGTAAACTCCAGGTAACACCTGGGAATGGGAGGCAATCAGATCTGATCAAAGGAAGGGGAGGACATGTCCAATTTCTGCAGGTTAGCCACTCAGGACAGCCCAATAGTCAGCATGTCAGTAATGACTATCTTATTTCCATTGGGGTATATCTGCAGAAACATAGACTGCCTCAGTCTTGAAGAAATATAGAGAGAAGACATTGAAAGATGAGGTAATCAGTCCCTCAGACTGGAAGCCTGTGTTCAGCAGTACCATAGTCTTGCACGAACCACAATGGAAATAAGTTACTGTATCTGACTTTTCTTGGGTTATCCTAGGTAATTTACACTATGTATGATGACTGTAATTATGTCTACCTGTACCTAAATAAACTTGTGTGTCTAATTCATCATCGTTGTCTGGCAAACACAAACACAATTATGTACGAGCACCACTATTAAGCACCTTCCATTTTTGTTTTTGTTGTCGAGTGTATTAAAGGTCACTGACAGTATTTGTGTATACCTGAATAAACTTACCCTTTACTTACTTAATATTAGCTTATGGTTTTAAGGGCCACTAACGGCTTAGTGTTAAGGGCCACTTACAGGTTACGGTTTATAGGGTCGCTGACAGCTTACGGTTTTTAGGGCCACTGGCAGCTGACGTTTTAACACGTGTAAATTACCTAGGATAACCCCAAAACACGTGAAAGTGATTTATTTCCATCAGGGGTCCTTGAAAAAGATGATATATTGTCAATATAGACATGTATACGTGCAACGATTTTGGAAAAAATATTATAATACAGGGAATGCTAAACCGGTAGAGGTCATACAGCATCTTGGAAAATGAGAGGTAATTGGGTTCAATCCAAGAAGGGTAGGAAAGGTCCAGTTCCTTACATCAAGAGCCTCTCACTACAAACAAGAACCCTTCAATTTGTCGGTTTTCAAAACTAATCATCACACAAAAACCCTAATGACAAACATTTTCGTCATTTGGGAAACATCGGGGTCTCTGATTAATACATATCACCGTGGCTGGAACAATCCTCAATTAACCCGCACTTCGGAGAGAAAACTATAATATAATAATAATAATAATTAATTCTACAAGTTGTTTTTTTTTTTTTTTTTTTTTTTTTTTTCAACAAGTCGGCCGTCTCCCACCGAGGCAGGGTGACCCAAAAAAGAAAGAAAATCCCCAAAAAGAAAATACTTTCATCATCATTCAACACTTTCACCACACTCGCACATTATCACTGTTTTTGCAGAGGTGCTCAGAATACAACAGTCTAGAAGCATAAACATATAAAGATACACAACATATCCCTCCAAACTGCCAATATCCCAAACCCCTCCTTTAAAGTGCAGGCATTGTACTTCCCATTTCCAGGACTCAAGCCCGACTATATGAAAATAACCGGTTTCCCTGAATCCCTTCACTAAATATTACCCTGCTCACACTCCAACAGATCGTCAGGTCCCAAGTACCATTCGTCTCCATTCACTCCTATCTAACACGCTCACGCACGCTTGCTGGAAGTCCAAGCCCCTTACCCACAAAACCTCCATTTACCCCTCTCTCCAACCCTTTCGAGGACGACCCCTACCCCCCCTTCCTTCCCCTATAGATTTATATGCTTTCCATGTCATTCTACTGTGATCCATTCTCTCTAAATGACCAAACACCTCAACAACCCCTCTTCTGCCCTCTGACTAATACTTTTATTAACTCCACACCTTCTCCTAATTTCCACACTCCGAATTTTCTGCATAATATTTACACCACACATTGCCCTTAAACAGGACATCTCCGCTGCCTCCAACCGTCTCCTCGCTGCTGCATTTACCACCCAAGCTTCACACCCATATAAGAGTGTTGGTACTACTATACTTTCATACATTCCCTTCTTTGCCTCCATAGATAACGTTTTTTGACTCCACATATACCTCAACGCACCACTCACCTTTTTTCCCTCATCAATTCTATGATTAACCTCATCCTTCATAAATCCATCCGCCGACACGTCAACTCCCAAGTATCTGAAAACATTCACTTCTTCCATACTCCTCCTCCCCAATTTGATATCCAATTTTTCTTTATCTAAATCATTTGACACCCTCATCACCTTACTCTTTTCTATGTTCACTTTCAACTTTCTACCTTTACACACATTCCCAAACTCATCCACTAACCTTTGCAATTTTTCTTTAGAATCTCCCATAAGCACAGTATCATCAGCAAAAAGTAACTGTGTCAATTCCCATTTTGAATTTGATTCCCCATAATTTAATCCCACCCCTCTCCCAAACACCCTAGCAAGTACATGTACAATATATAGACCTAGATGACATCAACGACATACTACTACTATAGAGAAAGCCCCTGGTTATGCAGAGAAATTCGGGCAAATTAGGTCAATTCTGTTCTCAGGATGCGACCCACACCAGTCGACTAACACCCAGGTACCTATCTTACTGATAGGTGAACAGAGACAGCAGGTGTTTTAAGGAAATGTCCTAATATTTCAATCCGTACCGAGAATCGAACCCGCGGACTTCAGTGTCAGATGAGTGCGCTACCAACCAAGCTACAGAGGTGTTTAACCAGGGGATATCCATACCCCCTTGACGGTATGGGAACCCAATAATGGGGTTATGGGACTAGATCTCCGAACGATTTAAAAAAATAAGTTCTTTGATTAGAATACACTATCAGCTGTTCTGTTATTAGCCAAGTCGGGGGTATGTAGGGTCATATTGGGCAATCCATTGGGGTCTGTAATCGTAAAAAAGTTAAGAACCCTTGCTACAGACTATGTTTCGGTCCGTCCTGGGTTTGATATGGTAAAAGCCCAGGACAGACTAAAACGCTGGTGAGTTGGACCTGCTTAGCATGGGACAATAGGCTTACTGCAGTATTAATTTGGTCTTATGTCTAAATTTATTTTTATCCTAACTTGGAGAGAGAGAGAGAGAAAAGAGAGAGAGAGAGAGAGAGAGAGAGGAGAGAGAGAGAGAGAGAGAGAGAGAGAGAGAGAGAGAGAGAGAGAGAGAGAGAGAGAGAGAGAGAGAGAGAGAGAGAGAGAGAAAGCGTTAAACCCAGAGAGGTCATACAACTATAACATCATTGGAGGATTTTTTTGTGTGTGTGTGTGTGAGACTTGATTCATGTCTGCATAAATAACTCATTACGATTGTAAACAGATATAAACATGCCAATAGTTCTTTACCACTTTAACTTGTTTAGCTATCAAAACTTTTCAGTCCAGTCCCTGGACCCATTATGTGCCTCTGTAATCTTTTGACTACCGCCCACAAGATAGTCATGGGGTCCATAATGAAGATATTAAACTAACTTCTCGGTACGTAATGAGACTGAATCAGTCTTACCTGTTCCAACAGTCGTATTCTTCTCTCAGACTTTGTCTCTGTTTGTCCTTGTTCCTTGGAGTCTTCATATTGTTCCGTCTTGCGTTCTTGCGTGTGTACTGCTGTTTCTACAGTGTCAAGACTGGTGATGCTCCATGCTAGGCTGGTTGTGGAGGTGCTCTGAGAGTTCATTATCAATATCTACTTCACCCTTGCTGAGTTGTTCTGCCCCACACACGCGATGCTCTGTAATGGTACAACTCGAGTAACTTAACAAATCACAAATGAATGCATGCATAAGTATGCAAAACAACCACAGTGAAATATAGTGAAATTTTAAGCGTTCTCAATAAAAAGATCTTGAAATTTCATTATTTTTCACTTTGGTTATTTTACATATTAACATACTACCTGTTTCATGTGATCTTATTGCATTCACAAGTATATATATATATATATCTTCACTGTAAAAAGTAAGATCAAGGCTTTCAAAAGTACCATCTTCATGGAAAAGCCACTTCATTTATGTATTTCGGATGCTTCTTCAGCCATCATCATGGTTGCCTAACAGGGTTTAAAGCCTATCGACAACACAAGAACCATTAAATCATTCCCTCCTGATAGTAACAATGTGCTCCACAAGGTCATGGCTCACAAGCTGGCTGCAGGATCAAGGCTCAAACATCAGTCTCACACCTAATTTTGGGTACCTGGGAGTTAATTGACTGGTGTGGGTCGCATCCTGGGACAAAACTGACCTAATTTTGCGGGAAATGCTCTGCATAACAAGCGGCTTTCTATATAGTAGTATGTCATTGCTACCAGCAAGGCCTGTATACCTTGTAAATGTACTTGTAGTAAATAAAGATATTATTATTATAATAATTCAGTTATAAGAAGACAATAACAATGATATAGTAATAAGAGAATGATAATGATGATGATGATAATAATAATAATACTAATAATAATAATAAATAATGTAGTAATGATCACAATAATAAAATATGCAGTAATAATCACAATAATAATAATGAACGTGAAAAAATCTTTGAATTACGACCGGGGAACGAGAGGTAACCAGGTCTGATCGGAGGGGAAGAAGCCCTAATTCCTTGGCTCAAGACTTATTCTAAGTAACAATAAATGTGTGTATGTTTCTTCATATCTGAGCTGCAACTTACATAGTCCAGCAACCACCTATCCTCGATCGTTACCCTGGCTAACAGTTTCTCTTCAGCATACATAACCCAAGTCATTATCCTGGTTAATGCAGTTTCTACTTAGCTTATATAATCCAGAAACCACGTATCCTCGGCCATTCTTCTGGATAATACAGTTTATAGTTTTTTGTAACCCGACGTATGAAAGACTCAAAACTCGTTTGAAACAAACACATTATGACATACATAAGGGGAGCCCAAGGAAAATAAGTCACATAGTTTGACAATACCGGGTAATCCCCGTCTCCCCCCTAAGAGAGTCTGGCTGGAAGGAGAGCCAGGGACTGTCTTATTTATAACAAGTGAGACGTCCCAATAATACTTGTGCTGTCCTGGCAGTGTGTAACTGGTGACTAGGTAATTCCTATATTATTATTACAATCAAGGTGAGCGCTAAACCCGTAGGATTATGCAGTGTCTGTAGGGGGATGTAGAATATATTCAGGCTTAATTCAGGGAACCAGAACACATATCCAATTCCCTATATCAAGAGCCCCTCACCAGCGTCAAGGAACCTTGGGGGGGGGGAGGTAATTCCTCTAGCGGCGGACTTTCAAACATCTGGAGTGCTGGATTCGAGTACATGACCGACTGTCAGCGTGCTGGGCTTGGTGATCAGACACTGAGTGCTGGTTTCCGGCAGCACTATCCGGTGTTATCCAGTGTTATCTGATGTCAGGTATCTGACACCAGATATCACTGGATTCGGACACCAAATTGGTCAAAGGACTACGAAACTGCCATAAAGCTAATGTTCGTTAATTTACAGAAAACCTGTTCAACTGAACTTGAGAAATCAAAGACTGTCAAATAAATTCGTTCCACATGATACATAGTTTTACAAAAAAAAAATGGATGACGTTTAATAGTAGATATGGAAAGCTTAGGTTATGCGTGTATGACTGTGTGCTTGCGGGAATGGTGTTAAGGACCCCAATGGAAATAAATCACTCCGACTTTGTTGGGTTATCCTAGGTTCCCTACGCATATGCTGCTATGTATGATAATCTATGTAACTGTATTTGTGTATACCTGAATAAACTTACTAATCTACCAGATCTACCTGGAGTTCATTACCTTTGTAACTTGCTCAGCTATCAAAACTTTGGGGTCCAGTCCCTGGACCCATTATGTACCTCTGTAATCTTTTGACTGCCGCCCACAGGATGGGTAAGGGGTGCATAATAAACATATTAAACTAACTAAATTATAGCTGACACAGGTGAAGACGTATATTTACGCACATACATCATTATTATTATTATTATAAAAAAGAAGCGCTAAGCCTTACACACAGCCGACACTATCTACTACTGGTACGAGTGTGGAATGGGGGGAGGGGTAAGGTGTGAAAATTTTTTACATCCCGAACACAGAATACTGCAGAGTTTGTTCTTTTTTTCTCTCTCTCTTCATGAATATCTCAATTTACTTACCGATTCGCATTTACTCATAGCGTTGAATATTATTAATTTGCGTGTATACTCTGTTCACTCTTCAAGCCTTTATACAGTCTAGTTGCGTTGTTGTGGCTGTCATCTTGATGAGTTCCAGTGAGCCTAACCAGGGCTCTGGATTGTTTAAACTAGTTTACAAAACCGGTTTATAGGAAGCAACAGATTTTGCTCCACGTGTGAATTAGCCCCCCCCCCCTTCCTCTCTCTCTCTCTCACACAGGGCCAGGAGCTGTTAACCGTCCCCTGCAACCAGATATAGGTTTGTACACACACAGACAACAGAATTCAAAATGTAGACACAAGGCTGTTACAAAAAAAAATACAAATTTATACCACCTAAAGACTTAATGGGAAACATATTCCTTCTGGATAACGATGGTGTCCTTAAGCACTAGCGGAAATACGGATTGTAGCTATGTATTTTTTCCAGTAATTATGGGTGAGTCACTCCACCCAGCTACCCTAGGGTTCACCTCTCCATCTTATATATAATTCCACTTTCTTAAAATATTCTCCGCTAGGATAACGTCCTGACACGGGTCTTAATCTTTAGACCTGTTCTCGTAATTCAGAAATTTACACATATGTTAAACTATATATGATAAACGTATTTATGTGTACCTGTACCTACATTATTATTATTATTATAATCAAAGGGGAAGCGCTAAACCCGTAGGATTATACAGCGCCCGGGGGGGGATGTGGAAGGCATTCAGGCTTAATTCGGGGAACTGGAGCAGTTCCAATTCCCTAAATCAAGAGCCCCTCACCAACATCAAGGAACCTTCCATGAGGGGACCTGTACCTACATAAACTTACAATTACACATTCAAGTACCCACCAGTACATACCACCGTGATGTAAATAAATCAGTGTTTGACTTTAATGGACGACCTAGGTTAAATCTACATGATGTAATTTTTGTGTCCATAATATGGGTGCCCTCAAGACCACTGCAAAAAATATTTGCATTATATATAAGCAAGCCTATATCAAAGGTTAATCAATTCATGTTAAGCTCTGACGCCCCATATATCACCCACCTTAAGTAACATTTATGACCAACTGATGTGTTATATGTGCGGAAATTCATGTAGTCAATGGGGCTTCACGTCCAATATGGTCAAGTCAGTAATCGGTGGCATCACACGGAAAAACCTGAACAGAAAGTGACCTTGGCATACCAGAATGATATGAACCTGGAGTATGGACCCTAAGGGTAGCTATAACTTATCCTGAGGCCAGCTGGGAAATACCATAATAGATACTACCCACAGAGCACTCATAAACTATACTTCGCTCTAAGCATAGCTTTATCAGTCTATTATGTATCTCTATTTAGAGTTTTATCATAGATTTTAGAGGTGCATATAGTGACCTACCTTACTTACCGGCAACTACTTTTCTATCCTTGAATCATACACCTAAATATTACACGATGATCCTTAATTTAGATAGAAATAGTTTTTAATCAGAAGACAGCTTCCATGTGGACTTCCAAGTCCTCTGCTATCTGTTTCCCATGTACTTCCTTAAACTCCTCTCGGTAAAACAAGGAAAAAATGCCAGCAAGCAGATCTCATAGCAGCCTAACCGATGCAGGCTAAGTTGTTTAGTAATTTAACAACTGCTACACCACTGGAAATAAGTAGCTGTCTGACTTTTTTTTTTTTGGGGGGGGGGGGAGTGAGGGGGGTTATCCTAGGTAATTGACACACGTTAAACTTTTTGTGATAATTGTACTTATGTGTACCTGTACCTAAATAAAATTACTTACATGATGGAAACTAGGACGAGATGATCACAGTATAAGAGTAAAAATATATGCAGAACAAGCTTTTGTGAAGCTTTATGCTATATATACATGCGTGTACCCCGTCCAGTGATATAATACAGTGAAGTGTAGGCATTCTAATACTTCGTTCGCTATTTTATGAAGGATTTTACGTGGAACAAACGAAGCTTCAGTCCTACCCACCACCTCAGCTCATTCCTGATCTTGTGATGCTTATCTGATCAAGACACCAAGAAAAAGTTTCACCACGAGTGACTTAAGTCTTTAATTCGTACTTACAATACACTCTGCCTTCACAGGTGTATATATCGAGAGTTAACTAAACGTAACTTACACACGTTACCATGTGTTATAATTGTACCTAAGTGTACCCGTACCTAAATAAACTTACAGGCACTGAATTTTTTAACCTTGTACTCATCTATTTGTAGTTTGAGGTCTCTGTTACTGCCTCTCTTCTGTATACACATCTAAGTGCGTATCTTTCAGTGTATATATAGTACGCTGAGGTCATACTCTCAGTGTATATGCAGCGGAAGTGTATCTTTAACTGTATATCCACCAAGAGCTTATATCTAACCAGTGAATATAACATCCAGAGGACAAGGGTAATTAGGTTTGATCCTGGAATCAAGAGCCATTTCTCATCAGGGTTGTCCAAAATGCTGTGCAAACTACAGGCTTTCAAATTATTGCATACTTATGTATAATGATTATTATTATTATTAAAGTACCGAAATTGTAGGAAGGTAAGCACATTCAGCATTACCTATGACCCGGGCACAGGGCCGGGGAAGGCCACTACCCCGTTGGGTTGGTTTCTATACGTTTCCTCCATCACAAGTTTCTCTGTGGAAATACCTAAATGTTTTATGCTGGTACCTGACCTTAAGTCCGTGGTCAGTTCAAGGGAACGCAGGCGAGAGCGATAAATGATGATATACACGTGGAAAATCCTAGAGGGATTAGTACCAAACTTGCACACGAAAATCACTCCCTATGAAAGCAAGACTCGGCAGGAGTTGCAACATTAACCCAATAAAAATCAGGGGCGCCACGAGTACACTGAGAGACAACACAATAAGTGTCCGGGGCCCAAGACTATTCAACTGTCTCCCAGCATACATAAGGGGGATTACCAATAGACCCCTGGGTGTCTTCAAGAAGGCACTGGACAGGCACCTAAGCCAGTACCTGATTGGGTTGTGGTCGTACGTCAGTTTGCGTGCGGCCAGCAGTAACAGCCTGGCTGATCAGACCTTGATCAATCATGAGGCCTGGTCTCAGACCGAGCCGCGGGGGCGTTGACCCCCGAAACCCTCTCCAGGTACTGATGCTGGTAAAGGACTCTTGAATTAGAAAAGGTTTTTATTAATATTACTTATCCGACTGACAACTGCTGACCGAGTGATGTGGAAGTTTTCTTTTATTTTTGGCCACTACCTCAATTTATAGGAGACAGCAGTCTTAAAAATAAAAGGTCGGTAACCCAGGATATCGTTTTTTTTTCCAGTTCCATTACATGGCATTTATCTACATTATATTGCATTATCCATCTATAACTCCATTTGCTCAATTTATCAAAGTCATTCTGTAGTTATTTACAGCAATAATTATTATTTAATTTACATAAGTTTTTTACATTATTCACAATCATATTCATGTACTTTTTTTCCTTCCGGCAAGTCATTTATTTCAATTAAAAACATTACTGGGGCAAGTACAGATCCTTGTGGTACCCCAACTGTGCATTTCCCAACGATGTCAGCTTTACTCTTATATTATCATTATTATTAGTCATGTGGGGAGCGCTAAACTCATGCCATAAAGCGCGTGGGAAATGGGAGGCAATCAGGTTCAATCCAAGGGAGTTCAGGTTTAATTCCTTGGATGAAGAGTCTCTCATCGGCATCAAGGAACCTCCCTTATGGTGTTTTTACCCTTATAATTGTATGCACTTTCCTTTCAGTCATCCATTATAATTTTCTTTTATTCCTCTTATATTCTGCATTTCCAAACTAATATTCATGGAGAACTATCAAAAAAAAAAAATTCTTAGCCTAGGTAAATACAACAAGCTAATCTATTTCTTAAACAATTTGTTACTTTTTTTTTTTTTTTTTTTATTCGCCGGTATTCTCCCGGCCCGGGTCTTTTCCAAGTAGTGGTGACCCGGCCTTGGCTCCCTATCTGGGGAGTGTCTCGAGACTTAAGTCTCCCATGGGAGGAGGTACAGTACCTCCTCATCTTTGGGAGCAAGTGTCCCCAGGCCTAGCCACATTCCCCGCCCTCACGGGGCTCGCAGGGAGAAGCTAGGCCTCTGGTCTGCCATCTACCCCGCCTCAAAGGGGCTCGTGGGGATGGCAGTCTTATGAGCTGCAGATGGTAGCAAGCTCAGGCCTCTTCTCTGTTACTCTGACATAATAAATTAGTACACTGATATGAACTTCAAGAGCAAAACCGAACTATTTATATCTAGTAATTTTTTATTCTCGTCTTGAATAAACTTTTCTAATGGGTTATCCCAATATTTTTACATTTGTCAATAAATTTATGCAGGGGTATTAATTTGCAGGGTCTCCCTGTTACCATTATTAAATATTAGCACAATGTGTGCCAAGAAAAATGTCTGAACTTTTTGGGGTTATGCTACGTAAATTTCACATCATGTTACAGGTATAATAATTGTAATTATGTATACCTGAAATTAAATAAACTTATTTATCTTCCATTAGTTTGTCCTTAACCTTGTCAAACCCTGTGTAAAAAAAAAAAAAAAAAAAATTTTCCCGAGTGGATAGCACAATTCTTCTGCAGTTTTCTTTTAAACTCATGGTGCTATTCTGTCTTTTTAAACTCATGGTGCTATTCTGTCTTTTTAAACTCATGGTGCTATTCAGTAAGTACAATTATCATACCTAGTACATATGCGTAAATTACCCAGGATAACCCAAAAAAGTCAAGCCAAGTGACTTATTTCCACTGGGGTCCTTGTAATATCTTATGATTTAAAGCTGCAAAAGTTGGTCCTTCTTTTTTTTTTCTAGTCTGCATTGAACTTACATCCCATTCATTGTTATTTTAATACTCTTCGCCTAGCTAGCTTTAACATTAAAACCAAGTACGGTTTTAAAAAATATCTACTTTTTTAAAGTTCTGATTTTTTTAATATTGGTTCTGACAAAGAACCTGTCTTTGAGTAGGTGGAGTACCAGGTTTATTACCATGTGCGTAGGTAGCGTTTGCTTACACACCCAAGTCACTCGTATAACACGAAAAAAGGAAGAGACAGGTGAGGTAAAAAAGTGAAGGCACAGGTGGTTTGGAATCGAGGTTCGGGTAGAAATTAGAGGGAAAGAAGAAGGAATGAAGAAAGAAAAGATAGAGTGGGGGATAAGATCAGACTAAAAGATAAGTAAACGTTCAATCGAAATAAAACCACCTAATGTATATTTTATCATTATCCCTGTCCTTGTATTTAGTTCCAGGTATCAAAAGAAAGTAAACACATCGCCTGAAGCCCTGTTTTTCTAGTATTCAGCTCAAAGATTCGCAAAACGTACTTCTAGCCATGGCTAGTATTGCAGCTCTAGGTTCCACAGAACGTAACTTCATCCGTCTGAGCCCGACCTAGTATTGCAGCTCTAGGTTCCACAGAAGGAAACTCATGTCTGTACGCCATGACCTAGTATTGCAGCTCTAGGTTCCACAGAAGGTATACTTCATCGTCTGTAGCCCTGACCTAGTATTGCAGCTCTAGGTTCCACAGAAGGTATACTCATCGTCTGTAGCCCTGACCTAGTATTGCTGTCTCAGGAGGTTTCACAGAAAGAAAGCTCACCAAAGAACATGGGTTCAGTCCTTAATAAGGTTAAATGCTTGCCCAAGTTTCCTTACAACTGCCGTCCTTGTTATCAGGAGATTATTATTATAATCAAGGGGAAAGTTATCAGGAGAAAGTAGGTAACTAGGCGTTAGTCTCCTCACAATTGCTACCCCAGTTTATCAGCATTATGTAGGTAACTGGATATTAGTGGGTGGTAACCTAGAGAAGAGGACCGTAGAATCACATAAGCCACAGTGATTAGCTTTATTTGGTTACCCTGGGTTGCTAACCCTCCGGCATTAATAATCATCTTATTGTTCTTCATTATCTTCTTTGAGTATGTGAAACAAATTAACTTGTTTACAACAGGGGGAGGAAGAGGCAAGCACACTATGCATTAACTCATGTTAAGTCACTCTACTCATCGACTCCATTCATTTTGCCCTCAAAAATACGCCTAGGTTAATATTTTCTTGCCTCTATTTTGAAACAATCTATGCTGTAGCAGATTCATGACATTAATTTCATTCTAGTTATTTTAGATTTAGTTACGTTACTTTAATATTAACTGTTCTAAAAAAAAGTAACTCAATATCCTAAATATTAAACAACGGAAATTGCAACAGCAGCCGGGTACATATAAGTTAAAATGACGCTGCTCAGTTAGGTTTGAAAAGGGGAAAAAAAAAGGTACCGATAGATTCATGGGAATAAAGGTGTTGCAGAATAAGCTTTGGATTCCAATGGCGTTCTGCCAACAACAGTGGAGGAAAAAAACTTGAAAAACAAGCTTCATTTGGGACAACGTTACTCTTCATCATAGATGACATCAATGACAAACTACTATATAGAAAGCCCCTTGTTATACCTGGAGGTTATGCAGAGCATTTCGGGAAAATTAGGTCAATTTTGTCCCAGGATGCGACCCACACCAGTCCACTAATACCCAGGTACCCATTTTACTAATGGGTGAACAGGGACAACAGGTTTAAGAAAACACTCCCAATGTTTCCACCCTTGCCAAGAATCGAACCACGGACCCTCAGCTTGTGAAGCGAAAGCTTTGCCTACCAGGCAACGGGCCTGATAATACAATTCGTTGGTAAGAAAACTCTTGAAGAATGACGAGGAGGTGCTGCTGGGATATGTTCTGTTCTTATCACAGCCTTGTACTAGTGGGAGGAAAAATCATCTGAGCCGCAGCACCCGTAGCTGCATCCCACTTATTTCACACCATATACCTATACCTAGGCAATGAAAGATAAGCCACGGGGGTGGAAATCTTCAGCTCCAGTTTGTATTCCATACTTCTAACTTCCAAGAACCATTATAAAGTTCATATGCTGTAGCACTATTCTAAACGACACAAAATCACGACAAATGGATAGTCACTACCTTATAGAAGTCAGGCGAGCGGGTGGTGGTGATTGTAGGTGTAGCAATGGTGGTTGTAGTTGTAGGTGGAGGTGAAGGAGCATCACCATGCTAGCAGTACCATCACAACTGAGGCGAGCTGAGATGGTCCACACTATAAGAGGCTCCCGACGCTCCAGGAGAGTGCTATCACCTTCCTACCCGGAAAAAAAAAACCACCCAAGCCTCATCCCTCGTCTCCTGGAAAAACGTAGACGGCTTACCATAAGAACAAGTCAGTGCATCAATTTTTCCCACTCTACGTTTTGCGTAACTGTCCACATGTACGTGTCAATAACTTACTTTCGACGCTGAATACGTTGAAGAATGAGACACTTACGGAACTTGCACAAGTTAGACAGTCCTCGATGACGCACTGACTTTCTTGGGTTATCCTGGGTGGCTAACCCTCCGGGGTTAAAAATCCGAACGAAATCTTATCTTATCTTATCTCTGTCTTATTAGGATTAGTCTGCCTGAAATGTATAGGCCTGCTAGTGGCCTTCTTTGTAATTAATATTTTATATTATGTATTATTATTATTATTATTATAATCAAAAAGAAGCGCTAAGCCACAAGGACTATACAGCTTTATATTATGTAAACCACACATTGTAAACATTGCAGGAAATAAACATTTTCATTATTAATGATTCATTCGCGGTGTCCACATCCAATATTATCGTTATATTCAGGTGGAAGTCCTAAACCCGCAGGGATCATAGAGCCGTGGGAATGGGAGATTTGATCCGAGGATCAGGCTAGCTAAGTGCTACTATATTATCATATTCCCTAGAAAACGCTAAACCAGTATGCCATATAACCTAGTACTAATAAAAATGTTTTTAAGGTTTTTCTAAGTGGACTCTGGTATCTTACAAAGTCGAATCACATATGTAAAATATGGGTAGCATATTCTATGTCTGATTAATAAATTCAAAACAAACGCTAAATCCATATGGACCATACTACTTGTGAAAAATTACTTGGGTGAATTTCACAGGTACAATCCTAAATTAACATTTCACACATAATTGGTGAATAAGTAAGTTTATTCAGGTATACACAAATACAGTTACATAGATTATCATACATAGCAGCATATATGTTGACAACCTAAGATAACCCAAAAAAGTCAAAGTGACTTATTTCCACTGGGGGGAGGGGGGAGAACTCTGGCACATTTACAACTACTCCGGCAGTAACAGCCTGGTTGATCAGACCCTGATCCACCACGAGGCCTGGTCTCAGACCGAGCCCCGGGGGCGTAGACCCCCAAAACCCTCTTCAGGTAAGCTCCAGGTACCTGGGAGAGGCAGGTGGGACTTAACGAGTGCGTCACGACACTGTCCCTCCTTCCTGTCCACCTTCTCACCTCCCTAAACTCACATATCTACACCTTAAATTATGTTAACATAAAGTTCTTGAATTTAATAAAGCAAATACCTCAAGCCAGTAACATTGGCTGTATTAAATTTGGTCCTGGACTGTATACAATCAGGATTAATTATTGGACTTGACAAATTTTGTTAGTATCTTATGCATATTACAAAATTCCAATATTATTATTATTATAATCAAAAAGAAGCGCTAAGCCACAAGGGCTATACAGCCAAAAATTCCAATAATCAAAAAAAAAAAAAAAAAAAAAAAAAAAAAAAAAAAAAAAAAAAATTACATAAATAATTTTAATTACAAAAATAAAAGGAAATACATCATACCAAATTATGGTCTTGATAATATGTCTTAACGCCTACCTATAGATACGCAACTAATACTGGCCGATAACTAGTTACATTACCTGCAGCCGATAACTAGTTACATTACCCGCAGCCGATAACTAGTTACATTACCTGCAGCCGATAACTAGTTACATTACCTGCAGCCGATAACTAGCTACATTACCTGCAGCCGATAACTAGTTACATTACCTGCAGCCGATAATTAGTTACATTACCTGCAGCCGATAACTAGTTACATTACCTGTAGCCGATAGCTAGTTACAATACCTGTAGCCGATAACTAGTTACATCACCTGTAGCCGATAACTAGTTACATTACCTGCAGCCGATAACTAGTTACATTACCTGCAGCCGATAACTAGTTACATTACCTGCAGCCGATAACTAGTTACATTACCTGTAGCCGATAACTAGTTACATTACCTGCAGCCGATAACTAGTTACATTACCTGCAGCCGATAACTAGTTACATTACCTGCAGCCGATAACTAGTTACATTACCTGCAGCCGATAATTAGTTACATTACCTGCAGCCGATAACTAGTTACATTACCTGTAGCCGATAGCTAGTTACAATACCTGTAGCCGATAACTAGTTACATCACCTGTAGCCGATAACTAGTTACATTACCTGTAGGTTGTAGCCAATAACTAGTTACATTACCTGTAGCCGATAGCTAGTTACATTACCTGCAGCGATAACTTTTACATTTACCTGTAGCCAAATAACTAGTTACATTACCTGCAGCCGATAACTAGTTACATCACCTGTAGCCGATAACTAGTTACATTACCTGTAGGTTGTAGCCGATAACTAGTTACATTACCTGTAGCCGATAGCTAGTTACATTACCCGCAGCCGATAACTAGTTACATTACCTGTAGCCGATAACTAGTTACATCACCTGTAGCCGATAACTAGTTACATCACCTGTAGCCGATAACTAGTTACATTACCTGGGGCCGATAACTAGTTACATCACCTGTAGCCGATAACTAGTTACATTACCTGTAGGTTGTAGCCGATAACTAGTTACATTACCTGTAGCCGATAGCTAGTTACATTACCTGCAGCCGATAACTAGTTACATTACCTGTAGCCGATAACTAGTTACATTACCTGTAGGTTGTAGCCGATAGCTAGTTACATTACCTGCATCCGATAACTAGTTACATTACCTGCAGCCGATAACTAGTTACATTACCTGTAGGTTGTAGCCGATAGCTAGTTACATTACCTGCATCCGATAACTAGTTACGTTACCTGTAGCCGATAACTGGTTACATTACCTGCAACCGATAACTAGTTACATTACCTGTAGCCGATAACTAGTTACATCACCTGTAGCCGATAACTAGTTACATTACCTGTAGTGAGATTTAATTCACCCTGGGAGGTGTATATTAGAGGTTATGTTTGTCAGGAAACGGGACAAGTGTCTCCTGACGCGGGTCTTCGTTATATGACTCGCATAGTAATAAAATGAGGTTAAATATGCATATTTTTGGTCATGTGACCGAGGCCTTCCACTGGTTTACCACTCCACCACTTTAAAAATCATGGTTATGTTTATAACTATTATTACATTACACATTAGATGATACTTGTTGAGGACGATGTTGATTCTCCAGCAGCAGTTCACGTTTTCATTCGTATCATCTTTATTTTGAGTTTCATTGTATATCTCCATTCTTCCAGATACACGGTAAATTCACTTATTATACACAACACTATATTTAACGATGCTATTTATATGGGCTTAGATTAAACGAGATTAATTCCCCAGAAATTCCTGCTCTTACCTGTATTATTGCGCCATTTTCGTCGATCTTCTTAAGGTTGGGTCTCCCAATACATCTTTTGAATTAATTTAATAACACTTCCAGGTGTGTACTACACTTTCATTATTGAAATATTAATTTCCTCTAAATTACAACATTTTCACTTTATTCAACTCCTTACAAAATATAAGGAAATAATGGAGAATATTAATTCTCATGTCACAGAACATCTTTTAAAAGTCACTGAAGATACATACACAATATCAGTTAACATTATTATCCTCATCAATTCTTACACACAAATTACGGGAAAATTATCAAAATTTTCCTGTGTTAGTTTTCAGTTACTGCACTGTTATTGCCTTATTAATCTTAAGTTTGCCCGAAATGCTCTGCCTATAAAGGGGCTTTAGGCATGTACACCCAACTGTTATACTCCTTTGTACAAACATCATACTAAAATAAAGTTGAAATGTTTATTTATCTGTAAAAATTACAATGTGGGTTTTACATATAAAATATTAATTACAAAGTGTGGTTTACTTACTATAAAAGATTAATTACAAAGGCCACTAGCATGCTTAGGCATTTCGGGCAGCTAATTATAAAAAAAATATTATTACTGGCTGGTGATTATTATTATTATTATCAAAAAGAAGCGCTAAGCCACAAGGGCTATACAGCAACTATGTCGTAGGATTTTCGTGGTACTTTCCCCTTGATGCAGCCGAGTCACTACTCTATTATATGACGCACCTTTTTTTTTTTTAATAGTGTACTTCAGTTTCTCAAAAGAAAACGGAGCACTGGAGGGGATATGCAGGGTGGATTTCGCTATTTATTGCAAAAAAAAAAAAAAAAGTCGCTGGCTGGCGAAACGTTTCCTTAATAAAGATTCCCAAATGTTGCAAGTGTCCCAAACTCCAATGGAAATACGTCACTGACTGTTTTTTGGGTTATCCTGAGTTCTTTACACGTATGCTGCTATGTATGATAATCTATGTAACTGTATTTGTGTATACCTGAATACGTATACTAAACCATTTATCACACACTGGATATTCCACCTGTGATATGACAGGTTAGGTTTGTCAGGAAACAGGACAAGTGTTTCCTGACGCAGGTCTTAGTCATATGATGATCCCACAGCTGGAGCTTTTGGTCATCTGACCGAGGCCTTCCACTGGCTTACCACTCCACCACTTTAAAAATTAGGGTTATGATTATAACCTTGCCCAAAGCGATACCATTGTCCTGCGATGTATATCAGAGATACTACAAGGAACTCAGTGAAATTAAGTCATTTCCTCTGACTTTTTTGGGTTATCCTGGGTAATATACACGTTACAATGTATTATAATTATAGTACCTATACCTAAATAAACTACACTGCTCAGAGAAGATGGATAGTAAGTAAAGGACCCCATTAGAAATAAAGGACCCCAATGGAAATAAGTCACTGACTTTTTTGGGGGTTATCCTGGGTTCTTTACACAAACTGCTATGTATGATAATCTATGTAACTGTAGTTGTGTATACCTGGAGAGAATTCCGGGGGTCAACGCCCCCGCAACCCGGTCTGTGACCAGGCCTCATGGTGGATCAAGGCCTGATCAAC